CTTTGACTCAGTGTCTCGTGACTTCCTGTTTGAAGTGCTTCGGAAGATGGGTTTTCCAGAGCGCTTCGTCAAGTGGATTGAGGGGCTGCATGAGAACACCACGACGAAGCTGTTAATAAATGGGTGGCTCGGTGAAGGCGTGAACGTGGTTTCGGGGGTCCGGCAAGGCTGCCCGCTGGCTCCTTACCTGTTCCTGTGTGCGGTGGAGCCGTTAGCTCAAGAGGTGGAGAGGGAGAGCCTCGGTCTCAGTAAGGACGGGCAACAGCTTGGCTACGTCGGTTACGCCGACGACACGACACTTATCCTGCATGGCGCGGAGCAGATTGTTAAGGCGGAAGAGATGCTGGACAAGTTCGAGAAAGTGTCGGGACTGGCGACGAACAAGTACGCCAACACTGAACTTTGCTTCTCGTCGGACTCCAAAGCACAAACAGGGTAACCACTCTTCAGCAAGTGATAAACCTTTGGGTCCACCCCCCCCAAAGTGCACCCTTGCTTTAACTGTACGCGGTTCATGTGCGGAACTGTGGAAGGGAACATATGATCTATGATACCGCTTTTGAATATCTCGCACCATACTGAACCTTTTAAAGTCGTCTGTACCCAAACGATAACGACCCACCCCGAGCTGGGCAGTCGCACATGGCCATGTCCAGTTGCTCAAAGGTTCATACGAGCAGGAACAGTAAAACACGGGCGAATCCGCGACCGCTTCCGCGTGCTCGCGAACGGCATGCAGGTCGCGATGGGGAATAGTTTTTTCTGCCCCGGGCAGAAGGCTTCCGCCGGCTCCGCGTCCTGGTGGATTCGACTTCCACCAGGAGAGGGACCTGGTGGGTTTGCGCCCACCAGGGCTCGGATGGACTCATTTCTCCAAGCCAAAGCCACATCCCTGGCACTGTGTGCCTCCGTGGACCCCGATATGGCGACACTATGTTGAACGTTAGGTCACTCTTCCTAGAATTGCGTCAGTCAAGGCCAGATTTTCAGAATTCTGAGGCGTTTTTAGTGATGTTGTCGTCCAGCTAGGCAGCCCACTTCAGCGAATCACGGCAAACAAGGAGATCGAAAATCTTCTCACACGTGTGTTCAACACTAGGTCAGTTGGATGGCACTTGCACATGCGTTCATTAGAAAAGGCATCACTTTCCCGACTATCCACTGTCGAGTTCATAACGTTTAGCGTTTGATATAAAGGGAAGGCTACCGCTCACTTTGGGAAACCAGGCGTTTCAAATCCGGCGTCTCGAAGTACTACTACCTGTGGTAAATACGTCCTGGAATTGTTTCTGCCTTTTCTCTGGCAAGACAGTTGTGCTGGCAATTCTGTTGCCCTCACTCGTCCATTTTCCGTTTGCTTCAGCTCATTGGAATCTGGAATCACAAGGCTCACCTTTTCCCTCAGCTGAAAGGGTTCTTTCCTCCCCAGAGTAGCAGAAGTAACTTCCATTTCCACGCACTTCTTGGCTCCTCAACTTTGTTGTTCATTGACCTTTCGTTTAGCCATGGAGGCCTTCTGCCTTGCCCGACCAGCCCTTGTGGTGGCTCCCCGCACTATCCGCGCACTCCCAGTGCGGTCAGCGCGGTCGCAGGCGAGAGTGGTCTGCGCCATCAAGTTTCCGGGTTTCGGCTTCACTGCCAAGAATGAGAGCGAAGACAACGAGTCTTACGCCGGAGCCGACTCCGCCACGACGTGAGCTTCCAGACCTTCGCCTGATGTCTATCAAAGCTTGACGCCACGGCGTTTTTTTTTCCACTGCTCCGTTCCCTGAGCGGCAATGCCACTTTAGAAGCCATTGGATTTTCTTTCTTGAGGTCCAAAGTTTTCGGTACTCATAGCTCGCCATTCTGTACCGTTTACCATCCCCAGTGTGTTCCCCGCGGAGGCGTGCGACGAGCTCGGAGGCGAGTTCTGCAATGCCGAGGGCGTGTTCGCTGAGGTGAAGCTGGAGTCGAAACCCGAGCCCGTGGTCAAGCAGGTCGAAGGGAGGGATGTCGGCGTGGTCGACTACGACGGCCCTAAGACGTACGTTCGGAGTTGCAATGTGATTCGCATTCATTCTAAATCTACCATGTTGAATGAATGCTATTTACTGTCACATGAAGCCTGACGACTAAGAAAGTCCTACAACGTAGGTCCGAAATCGCAGTCCTTTTTGCATTGAAGAGTCCGTTTTGCATTAAGCATGTGGACCATACTCGCCACGTAAGAGCTGTTTCACGAATCAGTCGCTCGGATTTGTATCCAGGAGTACGTGGTTCGGGCGAGTAGCGTTGGCTTTCTCGTGGCTCTCGAATGGGCTCTTTTCTCTCTTTACTTATTGCTTCTTTCGTGCAGCGTTTTCCCCGGCGAGGCATGCGACGAGCTAGGAGGAGAGTTTTGCGAGCCTGATTACCAGGAGGGCGTTGGTCCCGAGAAGAAGCTCTGAGCGTAAAATAAGCAGTTATACTGGTTAGTACGAGAGTCATGATTGTAAATCCTTTTCTTTATTGCGCAATATCTCGATCCAAGTACCCGTCATATGGACCCGTTTCTTGCAAACAGGGCAACCAGGACCAACCGCGGCCGTTTCTAGAGTCTGACCATGCCTTTAAAAACCTTTGGCGAACCGTTTTCCCGCGTCCCTCCCTACCTCATTCCTTTCTGCACACGCGCACCATTTATCCCTCGCCTCTCTGTTTCTTTGAACAAGCCTGTTGTCCGTGACATTTGCCTCTCCCATCACCAGCTCAGCCTACTTGTCCTATTCTCTCGAAACCCTATCATCGCTTCCCCTCACGTTCCACCCCACTCCCCTATCGAACCTACCCTCCCTGCCCATCGATTCGCGCTTTCCCATTGGGAAAAGTTTAATCCCAGCCCAACACCGTTCACACACAATGCCTGAAAAGTAAGACATCACGCTATTGTCTGTTACTACGGTAGTCTCCATGTGAGTTCCGGACACTCGAAATGCAAGTATTCAGGCTGCTACGTAACTCTAGGTACCGTGAGTTCGGTCATCATCAGGCGTAATGAGAATGAAACCGGTGCAGCCTCAGCTTGGGGAAACCCTGCTGGCGTGCCCTGAAGTCTACTTGAAATGCGTTTGTGGCTGGGGTCAAAATGCCTACTGTATACCGTACCAAATCATCACACCCAGGCATTTACATCTCTTACCAGGAATATTTATGACTTGATCAGTAGAAGCGCAAACAAGTGTAGAAACCGCAGGCACGCACATTCACAGGTAGTTTTGCATTGGAATAACACCTAGGTAGCAGGATCTACGATGGTACTGTGGTTTTTTCTTCACCTGGACAGTCATGTCTACTACGGTAGTCAATTGGTGCTAATTTCCAGGATTTCCTCGTAGCAGGTATGCAGTCCCTTTGCTTGGATGTAGTAGACACAGACAGAACAATTTATATTGGAATGTTGTATTTTGTAAACGATTGGATACCCGTGCAGACTGTATCTGTAGGTATGAAGCTGACTTCCTTGAGGGATACTGGAGCGATCATTGCATCTTGCTTTTGTCTAAGGAATGAAGGCAATCAAAAGGAAAACCGGAACACAGCCCTGAAAAATACAGCCTTGGATACAAATGCAGCACAGAACCCAGTTGATGAGCCGTAGTCATTATATTAGCCATATAGAGGGCACGACAAAGCATCCTCAATGACACGGTTAGTTCCAAGGTAATCGAGGTTAATACTAAGGTGAATCTCCAACTGGCACGACGCGGGAAACCTTGATTTTACATTCCACAGAGAGTTCACCCGACCTCAAAAATCGATTTTCCACCCACCCAAGGACCTCCAACCTCCCAAGTCCGGCTGACGACTACCAGTTTCCACGGTTTTGCCTTCGAGGTAGAACTAGTATGGGGGAGTTTCATCACCGTCACAATCGCATGGCTCTCGTATAGTCGACTCTCGAATATCTAGCTGGATTGTGAACAGAACTCAGTGGCCTCGCCTCCGCTGAAGTGGACGGTGGCTGATCCCGACAACGTACACACTCCTTTCTGCAGTATTTTGCCCAGTTCAACTCTAGGTCTTAGTCGCAGGAGCTTCAAGCGAGACGTAAATTGGTCACTATGTTGGTGAGGACGTACCAGCGGAAACGCAAAGGAGTACCGAGCGATTCAGATGACTCGTTTGCGGAGTCAGCGTCGCAGGACTCGCAGTCGTTCTTCTCGTCGCAGTCGCAGGAGTTCCAACTGAACGGTCTTGCCTCGTCCCAGGTACGAGCCTGTGGTTCCAGCCCGCGATCGGCTTTCTTTCTATGCATATCTGGAGAAAGAACAAATTAGACTACTAAACATGTGCATCTAACATGTACATGCTCCTTATGCTCCAATTTCACGTATCCTGCCTGCATTTGCGTGCAATTGTCAAGCCTGATTCCTGCTTGTCATTGTGTTTCTGCTTCACAGAACTCTGATTGGTCGCTAGTCGGCAGCGATGATCCCGAAGCCTTGCTGGATCGTCCACGTTCGTTCCACTGCAAGGCCACCCCCCCTGGTGGACTCTTCTCACCGGAATCCGAACCTCTGCACCACTCTTGTTCCGAACCTGATGCCTTTCGCGGGTTTCTGTCCCAGCCGTCACGCTCCAGCCTCCCACCTCCCGGACCCTCTCGCACGAGAATCGAACCCAACCGAGTAGAACCGCGCCGGCGATCGGCAGCAAGCTGGCGAAGCCAAACGGACGGTGGAGATGATTCCAGCGGCTTTTTGAACCACGTAAAATTGAAGAAAGGCGGTAAAGGGAACCAGAGTAAAGGGAGCCAGGGTCAGGGGAGAAAGCAAGGTAGGCGCGGCAAGGCAGATGGCGCATCCCAAGAGGCGGAGGTAGAAACCCTAGGGCAGCGGAGGCCGGGCAATAAGAAGGTGCAGGGGGATAGTGAGCGAGAGAGCGATGCAGAGGAAGATGAGCTTCGGGAGCTGGAAGCACTGTTTAAGTCTCCAGTGCACCGCAGCACGTTCTTGACACAGAAGCAGAGCGGATCCCTC